GTCTCTCAGCTGGATGGACTGTGTCTCTCTGGATGGACTGTGTCTCTCAGCTGGATGGACTGTGTCTCAGCTGGATGGACTGTGTCTCTCAGCTGGATGGACTGTGTCTCTCAGCTGGATGGACTGTGTCTCTCAGCTGGATGGACTGTGTCTCAGCTGGATGGACTGTGTCTCTCAGCTGGATGGACTGTGTCTCTCTGGATGGACTGTGTCTCTCAGCTGGATGGACTGTGTCTCAGCTGGATGGACTGTGTCTCTCAGCTGGATGGACTGTGTCTCTCAGCTGGATGGACTGTGTCTCAGCTGGATGGACTGTCTCTCAGCTGGATGGACTGTGTCTCTCTGGATGGACTGTGTCTCTCAGCTGGATGGACTGTGTCTCTCAGCTGGATGGACTGTGTCTCTCAGCTGGATGGACTGTCTCTCAGCTGGATGGACTGTCTCTCAGCTGGATGGACTGTGTCTCAGCTGGATGGACTGTGTCTCAGCTGGATGGACTGTGTCTCAGCTGGATGGACTGTGTCTCAGCTGGATGGACTGTCTCTCAGCTGGATGGACTGTGTCTCTCTGGATGGACTGTGTCTCTCAGCTGGATGGACTGTGTCTCTCAGCTGGATGGACTGTCTCTCAGCTGGATGGACTGTGTCTCAGCTGGATGGACTGTGTCTCAGCTGGATGGACTGTGTCTCAGCTGGATGGACTGTGTCTCTCAGCTGGATGGACTGTGTCTCAGCTGGATGGACTGTGTCTCTCAGCTGGATGGACTGTGTCTCTCAGCTGGATGGACTGTGTCTCAGCTGGAGGAACTGTGTCTCTCACTAATTTGAATTATGAAACACTCAGAAACTTCATATGATCCATGTTTTGTGTTGAAGAGGAGGAGGCTCATTTGATTGCTAGACTGAAATCTGTGGTGATTCGTCTGCAGTTTTGAGTCAGGGGCGGGTAATTAGGGCTGTGTCAATTATCAGATATATATCAATATTTTAAAATTGAATACACTATAGCTGTTTTATGTAGGAATATATAAATATATATATATATATTTATTTATATATATATATATTAATTGTCCACTCACCTGGCCCTCCGCGGGCGGTTATCCCTCTCTAAGCTCGGGTCCTCTACCAGAGGCCTGGGAGCTTGAGGGTTCTGCGCAGTATCTTTGCTGTTCCTAGCACTGCACATTTCTGGACCGAGATGTCCGAGGTTGTTCCGGGGATCCGCTGTAACCACTCTTCTAGCTTCGGGGTCACTGCCCCGAGTGCACCGATCACCACGGGCACTACTGTCACCTTTACCCTCCAGGCCCTCTCCAGCACTTATATATATATATAATTTTCCGATTTTGTCTCTTTTCCATTATTTCGATTTTTTGATGTTACAAACAGAAGCTTGAGATGATTTTTTTCATCAAATGTAATGCCTGCCAAAAGCCTTTTACTGTGTTGTATTTTTGTTTGATTGACTATATTTTTGACTGTGCGCATGTGTCTCCTGCAGCCCTGAACATACGTTCTAAGTTTATCAGTTCAGGTCTCAGTTCAGGTCTCAGTTCAGGTCTCAGTTCAGGTCTCAGTTCAGGTCTCAGTTCAGGTCTCAGTCCAGGTCTCAGTTCAGGTCTCAGTCCAGGTCTCAGTCCAGGTCTCAGTCCAGGTCTCAGTCCAGGTCTCAGTTCAGGTCTCAGTTCAGGTCTCAGTTCAGGTCTCAGTCCAGGCCTTGGATTCTTCAGCTGCAGATTGAAACATTGTTTCTCTTTGATGGCCCACTCTGGATCAGCCAATCAGAGTAGCCTACGGTCCCGCCCCCTGTGCACTTAGTATCACAGCCTAAAACTAAACATGTTTAAATGTGTTGTTTTTACACACACAGTACAGGAAAGGGCTTTAACACGAGTTCACCAGGAACAAGTTTCATTTGAAAACTTTGAAATGTTGTAATTGTAAAATTAATAAGTTAAAAACTATATTTTTTGAGGGAGAAAGAAACAGCTTGCAGGTGGATTTAACCAATCACAACACTGTGTATCTTAACCAATGAGAGCGCACAATGAGCCACGCGTGAAACGAATGCACGTTCTGTCTGAGTTCACGTGCACACGAGGACCACGCGAGGAGCACACGGCGACGAACCGGAGAGATGGCGCGTGAGAGCAGAGCCGATGCGGTAAGTACCTCTGTCTTATTTCTGTGGGTAAAGTGAGTGCTTTTCATTGTAAGAACTCCGGCCAAAGTAACTTCTCCGTATCAAATCCAATGTTTTAAATACAAAACGTGGTGCTCAGCGGTACGTTCGTTTGATGGCGGCGCGGGTCTGGGTCTATGCGCGGGTCTGGGTCTGTGCGCGGGTCTGTGTCTGTGCGTGGGTCTGTGCGCGGGTCTGTGTCTGTGCGTGGGTCTGTGCGTGGGTCTGTGTCTGTGCGCGGGTCTGGGTCCTGTGCGTGGTTCTGTGGGTCTGTGTCTGTGCGCGGGTCTGGGTCTGTGCGCGGGTCTGGGTCTGCGCGTTGTTCTGTGGGTCTGGGTCTGTGCGTGGGTCTGTGGTTCTGATCTCTGAAACTTCGAAAAAGATGGAGGCCTTCTAAAATCAATTGCTGAATTATGAAAATTGTATGAGCAAGCGATTATTATTTTATTTATTTTTTCCCCTTGGTCTGTGAAATGCACTATATATGAATATTACTTACTTATAGAACGTGTTTTGGATTCAGGACCTCATGGAGTAATTTCCAAAAATCATTTTAAATTTATTGTAAAATTCAAATGTGTTGAAATGTATTAAACAAAATGCAGATGAATTCTAATTGTAAATCTTGCATGTTGCAGATGAGTAGCCCATCTTCAGATGCCTGGTCCAGTGATGAGTACAAGCCTCCTCCTGGAAGCCCGTGCTCCTCTACATTATCCAGCAACGTTTCAGTATTTTCTGACACATGTGAGTCCAGACCAAAGACAAGACGCACCAAAAACTACCACCGCCTCAAAAACAACTCTGGGACAAATGCATTGACTGTAAATACTAGTAGTAAGAAAAATGGCAAAAGAGCAGTGTTGGGCACGTTACTTTGAAAAAGTAATTAGTTATAGTTACTAGTTACTTCTCCCAAAAAGTAACTGAGTTACTAACGGAGTTACTCCACTATAAAAGTAACTAGTTACCAGTAAAAGTAACTATTGCGTTACTTTTTCGTTTTGTTCTGGAACATAATGTGCACCCGACGTGCGCATTTTTACCTTTAATATTGCCAATATTTCCATCTAGAAAAGGCTGTTTTGCTGCTGAAGTCCTGTTCACTCTTCATCTCTCTCTGTGCTGTAAAGCCCGCCACTGTGAATGTGGAAACACCGGTGAAGCACTGACTTCAGTCCAATCAGATGAACATATACATCATATAAATCAAGTGGACAATTTGTTTGGCTACAGCAAAATATGTTTTATGCCCGCGTTGTTTGTTCATACAAAACGCAAAACTATGAGTTATGGGTCTTACCTTATAGCTATACCTTATAAATGACCTGCACAGTCCACTTCGGTTCAGACCAGTTCCTTGTTTAAATCCAGTTAATGGTTTGAGCGTAGATATGTAATCCTCCATTTGGAAATGAGTCCAATGAGTTTTAAAAAGTAAAACAAAACGCGTGTGTCCTCCGTAAACTCCTCTGTTTTGCTGCAGCCGGCTGCATCCAATTTCTAAAATCAACCGTCTTACACTTCACCTCTCTTTCTTATCATTCCTATAGTCATTGAAAAATGACCCTATGTGCATTTTAGATTATGTAAAAATGTGTTATATGTATGTTAGCCAAACCTGTTGCTGCCCATAGCAGATAAACCAGGAAGAGAAAGGAGCTTTCAGATGGAATTGTATGCAGCCGACTTCTGCGCTCACATGCGCTACTCTGTGGCTGACCTCACGGTGATACAAGCCGTGGTTGAGCGCGATTAAGACCCATATTTGTTTCAAAAACACAATTTATGAGCCATCCTCTCAACTGTAGACATGTGGATTGTAAAGGAAATATGATTTACATCAGCCAATAATTGCTGAGAGGTTTTCTCATCCTCCCTTCTCTCATGACAACACGTTCATTGTGCGTCTTGAGTAACGCGCAGTAACGGGATGTCGGAAATGATAACGGCGTTATAGTTACTGTCAAAGTAATTAGTTAGATTACTCGTTACTGAAAAAAGTAACGGCGTTAGTAACGCCGTTATTCCCATCACTGCAAAAGAGTGTGGGACAAATCTCATTACTGTGTTTACTGTCAAAAGCCTAATCTAAAAATTGCCCGCCATTTAGAGATGAAGCACATGGATGAAACTGATTTGGCTCAGGCTTTTAGCTTTCCAGTTCGCTCCAAGGAAAGAAAGACACATCTTGAGTCCCTGAGAAATAAGGGGGACTGGCAGCATAATCAGAAAGTGCTAAAAGAAGGTAAAGGGGAGCTTGTCACCTGGAAGCGGCTCTCTGTTAACGCACCTGTTAATGATTATTTGCCATGTTTAAAAAAAGGGATCTATGGAGACATGATAAAGTTTGTAGGAATAAAAAGGAAAGCACAGATTTGGGAACAAAAAGAAAACTGATCCAAGCGGTCTCTTCTGTGCTCCTTCCGATGCAGAAAACCTCAGAGGGAACCCAAACTGTAATTTCAAGCATGTTGCAAGATAATATCACAGCACAAATCCGAAGTGATGACATGATTTGTATATTTGGAGATTCACTGTTTGCCAGAAAAGGACGTGAACAATCGCAACACCGGTACATCGCACAGAAACTGAGGGAACTCGGACGTTTCATTTTAGCAGCTAAACAAATTGACAAACGCATCAGAGGACTTAAAGATTTGTGCGACCCAACACATTTTAACTTGGCAATAGCAGCAGCTAAAAAAGTAGCAAAATTCAATTCAGAAAAGTCAGAGTATGGAAAACCTTCAACAGCGGTGAAGATAGGCTTTTCTCTCAAAGCAGCGACCAATGCTTGGATCGGTCACTGCATCATGAAGTCGGATGATGAAAACAAAGCAAAGAAGTTTAAAGAGCTTCTGGACAAAATGTGGTCAGACTATGTTTCGGCAAACGCTCACAGCTCCATAGAGCACAACAAATGGAACAAAGACGACTGTTCCATTGACGAAGGACATTGTTGCGCTGCAGAATCACCTGAGGACTATAGAGGACCAAGCCATAGCCGACCTGAGGCAGAATGTAACTGTCGTCATACAAACAGCTTAGCGAAAGTCTTCTAGCTCAAGTGATCGTCTTCAACAAAAAACGTGAAGGAGAAGCATCAAGGATCACACTGGAGACGTTTAAGAGCGCTGACACTGGTCACATGAACATAGACATGAAACACTGTCACCTGTAGAGACGCAGACTCACTCGGATGGTTACGAGAGGCAAAAGAGGGTGGAAAGTCCCCGTGCTGTTCCTGGCGCGCACTAAAGCTTCAATAGACTTCATGATCGAGCTCAGGGACAAAGTTGGAATACCACAAGCCAATCCTTTTTTATTTGCAAACATTGGAACAAACACACATATTCGTGGTTGTGACTGTTTAAGAAAGTTTTCCCTTGTGTGTGGAGCTGAAAACCCTACAATTCTCAGGTCGACTAAATTAAGGAAACACGTGGCAACATTGTGTCAACTTCTGGACCTCTCGAACCAAGAGCTGGAGCAGGTTGCAAAGTTCATGGGCCACGACATCAGAGTCCACTGCAACTACTACAGACAGACTGATAAAACCTTTCAAGTGGCTAAAGTTGGGAAGCTGTTGTTTGCAATGGAAGGTGGGGCAGAGGCCCTAAAGGGAAAGACCCTCCAGACCCTGGATGCAGCTGTCTGTGGTTTGTACTCTACATAAATATGATCAAAGGCATGATTCATGATGATGATTATCTTTTATATGTTCACAGACCAAACAGAGCTTCAGCACAGTGACTTGGAGGATGAGGCTGATGGTCCCATGGACAAGCCTCCTGATGGTGAGTCTAACACCTGAGACACATGACTGCAGTCCTGGTTCATACCTGGTTTAGACCTGGTTTAGTCCTGGTTTAGTCCTGGTTCAGACCTGGTTTAGTCCTTGCTGACCCTTCTGTGTGTTCTTGGCGTGTGCTGAAGTGTCTGATGAAGAGGAGCTAGAGCCTACCTCCACAAAGGCCCAGAAAAACAAACGGACCAAGAGGATAGATGGTGAGTACAACTGATCCTGGTTTAGTCCTGGTTTAGTCCTGGTTTAGTCCTGGTTTAGTCCTGGTTCAGTCCTGGTTTAGACCTAGGGTAGACCTGGTTTAGTCCTGGTTCAGTCCTGGTTCAGTCCTGGTTTAGTCCTGGTTCGGACCTGGTTCGGACCTGGTTCAGTCCTGGTTTAGTCCTGGTTCGGACCTGGTTCAGTCCTGGTTTAGTCCTGGTTCGGACCTGGTTCAGTCCTGGTTTAGTCCTGGTTTAGTCCTGGTTTAGTCCTGGTTTAGTCCTGGTTCAGACCTGGTTCAGACCTGGTTCAGACCTGGTTCAGACCTGGTTCAGACCTGGTTCAGTCCTGGTTCAGTCCTGGTTTAGTCCTGTTTCAGTCCTTTTTTAGACCTGGTTTAGTCCTGGTTTAGACCTAGGGCAGTCCTGGTTTAGACCTGGTTCAGTCCTGGTTTAGACCTAGGGTAGTCCTGGTTTAGACCTAGGGTAGTCCTGGTTCAGTCCTGGTTTAGTCCTGGTTTAGTCCTGGTTTAGACCTGGTTTAGTCCTTGCTGACCCTTCTGTGTGTTCTTAGCGTGTGCTGAAGTGTCTGATGAAGAGGAGCTAGAGCCGACCTCCACAAAGGCCCAGAAAAACAAACTGACCAAGAGGACAGATGGTGAGTACAACTGATCCTGGTGTAGTCCTGGTTTAGACGTGGTTTAGACCTGGTTTAGACATGGTTCAGTCCTGTTTCAGTCCTGGTTTAGACCTGGTTTAGACCTGGTTTAGACCTGGTTCAGTCCTGGTTCAGTCCTGGTTCAGTCCTGGTTTAGTCCTGGTTCAGTCCTGGTTTAGTCCTGTTTCAGTCCTTTTTTAGACCTGGTTTAGTCCTGGTTTAGACCTAGGGCAGTCCTGGTTTAGACCTGGTTCAGTCCTGGTTCAGTCCTGGTTTAGACCTAGGGTAGTCCTGGTTCAGTCCTGGTTCAGTCCTGGTTTAGTCCTGGTTTAGTCCTGGTTTAGTCCTGGTTTAGTCCTGGTTTAGTCCTGGTTTAGTCCTGGTTCAGACCTGGTTTAGTCCTGGTTTAGACCTAGGGTAGTCCTGGTTCAGTCCTGGTTTAGTCCTGGTTTAGTCCTGGTTTAGTCCTGGTTTAGTCCTGGTTTAGTCCTGGTTTAGTCCTGGTTCAGACCTGGTTTAGTCCTGTTTCAGTCCTTTTTTAGACCTGGTTCAGTCCTGATTTAGACCTAGGGTAGTCCTGGTTCAGTCCTGATTTAGTCCTGGTTTAGTCCTGGTTTAGTCCTGGTTTAGTCCTGGTTTAGACCTGGTTTAGACCTGGTTTAGACCTGGTTCAGACCTGGTTTAGTCCTGGTTTAGTCCTGGTTCAGACCTGGTTTAGTCCTGTTTCAGTCCTTTTTTAGACCTGGTTCAGTCCTGGTTTAGACCTAGGGTAGTCCTGGTTCAGTCCTGATTTAGTCCTGGTTTAGTCCTGGTTTAGTCCTGGTTTAGTCCTGGTTTAGACCTGGTTTAGACCTGGTTTAGACCTGGTTCAGACCTGGTTTAGACCTGGTTCAGACCTGGTTCAGACCTGGTTCAGACCTGGTTCAGACCTGGTTCAGACCTGGTTTAGACCTGGTTTAGACCTAGGGTAGACCTGGTTCAGTCCTGGTTTAGTCCTGGCCTTTAGACCTGGTTTAGTCCTGGTTTAGTCCTGGTTCAGACCTGGTTTAGTCCTTGCTGACCCTTCTGTGTGCTGAAGTGTCTGATGAAGAGGAGCTAGAGCCGACCTCCACAAAGGCCCAGAAAAACAAACGGACCAAGAGGACAGATGGTGAGTACAACTGATCCTGGTGTTAGTCCTGGTGTAGTCCTGGTTTAGGTCCTGGTTTAGTCCTGGTTTCGACCTGGTTTCAACCTGGTTTAGACCTGTTTCAGTCCTGGGGTTTCAGTCCTGGTGTAGTTGACCTGGGTAGACCTGGTTTAGACCTGGTCCAGTCCTGGTTTAGACTCCCTCAGACCACAAGCAAACACCCCCCCCCCCCCCCCCCACACACACGAAACAAAAAACAAAAAACCCAAATCAAATAGCGCACACGCCACACACCCACGGCACCGATAACACAATAAAACGATGTAAGGATTGGCAGGGATCAGATGCAACGGCTGAAGAAACGCTATCCAAGGAGCGTCTGACCAGGGCAGAGAGCCGCCCTAGCCAAAGGGGACGACACAGGACCCAGAGGGGACCCAAAAACGAGGCCCGGGCCCCCCCACCAGGTCCAAGAGGTCCGACCCCACAGCCACAGCCAACCACCGCTCCCAGCGCAGAGGGCTCCTCCAGAGGAAACACTGGGGATACTAAAAACAATACAATAAGTAAAACACTAAAATGTGAGCCTGAAAGGAACTATCACACAAAACATGAATAAAAGCAATAGCAAATATAATAATTAATAAAAGATAAATAGAATATATAAACAATGGACTAATAAATACTAATCAAAAGCTAATCTAAAAAGGTGTGTCTTGAGCCTGGCTTTAAAATATGAATGTTCTCTGCGACCCTGAGCTCCTCCGGCAGACTGTTCCTGAGACGGGGGCCGTAGTGCTGGAAAGAGAGCGCTCACCGTGAGGTGTGTGTCCTGACTTTTGGAATGGTTAGGAGTCTGCTGCCGGAGGAGCGCAGGGGGCCGGGAGGGTTCATAGGATAAAAGCAGTTCTGAAAGATAAGAAGGCCAAGACCATTAAGGACATTTGAAAACCATTAGGAGAACCTTAAAATCAATCCTGAAACAACACGGGGAAGCCAATGCAGCGATTTTAAAAACCGGTGTAATGTGGTCCCGCCCCCTGGTCTTAGTCAGGGACACGTGCGGCCGAGTTTTGGAGTATTGTAACCTTGCAATGTTCTTTTTGGGCAAGACCAGAGTAGCAGGGCATTCCAGTAGGTCAATCGCGACTGGTGATAAAAGCATGCATTCAGCGTCTCCGTGTTGGCCCCGAGAGAGACTGGGGCGGACTCTGGCGATGTTCTTCAAATGATTAAAAACCTATTTTTGTGATATTCTTGTTGTGAGGAATAAAAAGTCAGCTCAGAGTCAAAGATTACGCCCCAGATGTTTTCACATTGTGGTGATGGATTAAAAGAGTGTGATTGGAGTTTTGCTAAAAGTTTCTCTCTCTGGGCCTCAGTGACCGATGACTAAAACCCTCAGTTTTGTCCTGGTTCTAAGCTGGAGAAAAGTTTTCTGCCATCCAGGATTTCAGGTCTAAAATGCAGTTTTAAAAAGAGCATCCATTGGCCTGGTTGTCGTCAGGAGACCTGGAGATGTACAGCTGTGCTATCATCTGCATAAACTGTGGGAAGTTAATTTCCATGTCCTCCTGACGACACCGCCAAGAGGGAGCATGTACAGGTTAAAAGGACTGGACCTAAAATGGAACCCTGGGGCACACCACATGTGATTTTATGGACCTGAGAGGAGCAGGCATCCAACTTACCATGAGGGATCTGTCTGTTTTAAATAAGACGTGAACCATTTGTGCGAACAGCACCCGAGAGGCCGAGGTGTTGTCAGGGCGGGATATAAAGAAATTGGTGTGGTCTACTGTGTCGAAGGCAGCGCTTAAGATCCAGTAGAACCAACACCCAGTCACCTTTCTCGAATCATAATTTAGTCCTAAAATCAGTTTAAAATCTTTAAAGAGCCGTCTCTGTGCCTGTGGTTCATCCCTAAAACCTGATTGAAATGTCTTCTAAAATTTGCTGCTGAATTTTTTCTTTTTACAAGCATTTAGTATTCATTTTGTAAGCCAAGGGCTTTGTTTGTGTTTTTTCTTTAAAAACTAGTGTTGTTGAACAGGACAGTATTTGTTGTACAAGGAGAGGAACAAGTCGAGGAAGTTACCATAAGCAACATCCACATTTTGTTCGTTATAAACTGTATTCCAATCCTGGTCTGCTAGACTGTTGTTCAGATCATTTATTGTTTCTTCATTTATTATTCGTTTTGAGATTGTTTCTACATGGTCTTTGGTTCTCTTAATATCGTAGTCATACAAAGCAAAAACAGGCAAGTGGTCAGTAATGTCACAGATAAATAAGCCACTGATAATTTGACTCTCGATAATGTTAGTAAGGATGTTATCAATAATTGTAGCGCTATGTGAAGTTATTCTGCTAGGTTTGGTTATGGTTGGAAACAGAGACAATCTATACATTGTATCAATAAAGTCATCAATATGTTTTTGTTTGGTTGGATTTAATAGATCTATGTTAAAATCTCCACAAACAAAGATATTTTTTTTATTTATCTCAGAACATTTTTTCCATCCACTCATTGAAAAGGTCGATGCTTGAACCAGGTGCTCTATACACACAACTCACAATAACATTTTTCTTTCTCTCATTATGTATTTCTATTGTCAAACACTCCAATCAATTAATCAATTACTCCATCAATTACCAATGTCATATTTGTTAGGATATTATATTTGAGGGATTTGTGTACGTATAAGGCTACTCCACCGCCTGATTTATTTTCTCTATTCATATATTTTAGTTCATAGCCTTCAAGACAGAAATCTATACCTTTTTGCATATTGAACCACGTTTCAGTTAGTGCAATGATACTAAATGGCTGAGAAAAGTGTTGCAAGTACTCCTTGATAGACTCAAAATTTGTGTACATACTTCTGCTATTAAAATGTATAATTGAAAGTTAAAAAGATAAAAACAATCCAGTCTTTTATAGAATAATATTGCTTTTATAGTTGGTACACTGATAACTGTTGTGATAAACATAATGTTGCAGATTGCAGTGTGACGTGTCTCAACATTAAGATTAGTTATAAGTCCAAAACATCTGTTACAGTGCATATGTATTAGATGAATGTAATGCATATACATTACAACAACAAAGCTTTACATGAAGGTTATTTAAAGTAATACATTACTGCTACTTATTTCCTCACAAATTATATATTTGGAGTTCTTTATAGACAACACTGTAGTAATGTATTGTGTGAAAGTAAAGCTGCATCTCACTGGAAGCTGCCTTCTCAATGTCACAAAATGAAGATACATTTATTGATGTAATCAACATCTGTATTATGTGCTTATTGTTCAGAGAATGAAGACAAAATCAAAGTGTATCAGAGCTGTACAGTGAGATGTGGGACTGAAAAACAATTCCAGTAAAGCTTGTCCGAAACGCAAAAGTACTGTCATAACTAATTACGTTACACTGACTATTACACTGTAAGGAAACTTACCACTTTGAAAGCAAAGCTACAAGTAACATAGAATATATAAAGTCATTTGTCATAACGGTTCTTTCAGGAAGCACTGAACGCCCTCTGTCCAGAGAAGCTGATGACCAGATCCTCCCAGACCTGGCCCTGATGCGTCTGTGAAAGGTGCCAACAGACATTGAAAACGTGCTGTCCTCAGCGGCCCCCATGGTGCACGTCCTCAGCGGCCCCCATGGTGCACGTCCTCAATGGCCCCCATGGTGCACGTCCACTCTGCAGTTCTGAAATATGTTTGTAGTTGTACTATTTCAAAATAAAACTTTTTAAATTCACCTCTTTCAATGTGTTTTGTTTTATAGTAGGAAAACAAATACAGTCTGTAACGAGTCTAAGAAACTTTATTATGTAAAAGAAGATTTGAAGTTATGGCCAGAAAAAAATG